TTTTTTGTCAAAGGGTATGTGCACTCACCAGAAAGAGAGACAGAGAAAGAAAAAAAGTGAGAAGTCATTACCCCAGCAGGGATGGCCATGTTTCAATACCATTTTCTCCATTCTCCTCTTGAGATTTTGGGCATGCATACATACGTGCCCAGCACGCTTTTAAGCTGCTGGGTCTGGGACTAAATTGCTGAGTTGGCCACGCGGGACCCAGCACCTTAACCACTACACCACTTGCTGGCCCAGGATGCACTTCTTACATAGACCAGTGAAGGTCCTTTATTTTAACAACAGTGATATGGACAGCCACCCAACAAATACTAATGAGGACTTTGGAGATAGGAAGATGAAACTTGATGCTGAAAACGGTAGCAAGTGGACAAAAGAGACTCTAAATAGATAGTTTTCCAAGGAAGATATGCAAATGGCCAGTAAGCACTAGGAAAATGTAAATCAAAATGATAATGAGATTTTAAATATAACCTCACACCCATTGGGAAAGCTATAATCAAAAAATCACATAACTTGTGTTGGCGAGGATGTGGAGAAATTAGAATCTTCTTACTGCGGCCCTCATACACTGCTGGTGGGACTGAAGAATGGCACAGCCATTTCAGAAAACAGTCTGGCAGTTCCTCAAATAACTAAACACAGTGTTACCACATGATCCAACAATTTTACTCCTAGGTATCTATCTAAGAGAAATGAAAATGTATGTCCACACAGATTTGTACATGTGTTTACATTGGGATGATTTATAATGTAAAGATGAAAACAATGCAAATGTCCATCATTGAAAACATAGATTTAAAAAAAATGTGGTATATCCAAACAATGAAATAGTATTCAGCCATGAAAAGGGATAAAGTACTAAGACATGCTGCAACATGGATGATTCTTGAAAGCACTTAAGTGAAAAAGCCATTCAAGGGAACCAGCAGTTAGCGTAATGGCTATGTCGCTGGACTCCCGTGTAGTCGACCGCAGTTCGTGTCCCAGACCTGGTGGCTTAAAACTCACGCTGGGCGCATGTGAGTGAGTGCCCAAGATCCCAAGAGGAGAATGGAGGAGAAGGGATTGCAGCATGACCATCCCCCCTGGGGGGTGATTTCTCGCTTTCTGTCTCTATGTCTCTCTCTGTTTGTCTGGCAAGCGCACACACCCTATTGCGAAAACCTCTCCAACAACAACAAAGCCATTCAAAAAGGACCCTGTATTATGTGATGATGAGTTCCCATCACTGGAATATAGAGACAGTAAAATAAGTAGATTAGAAGTTGTTTAGGGTTGGTTATTCTGGGGACAGAGGGAAGCTGGGGGAAGAATAAAGAGACAGTAACAGTTAAATTATACAAGGTTTCTTTTAGAGGTGATGCAAATATTCTAAAAGTGGCTGTTGAGATAGCTGTACAGCTCTGTGCATATGCTAAAAACCATTTAATGTTAGTGGCTGAACTCTGTGAAATATGAATTATAGCTCCATAAAGCTGCTCCAAAATTTTTTTTCTGAAACATCATAAGAAGTTTTGGACTCATTTCTTCTCCCTTTGGTTGTCTTTGCTTCTTTGGCTATGCTGACCATGTTTTAAACCTAAGCATCTTCCCTGGGTACAAGGTGTGAATGGTAAAATTCTTGATCACTACTTGAATATTTCAACAGAACTTCAATTTTAACCTGTTAAAGTCAACTTCAACCCTAAATCACATCTTCCCCTGGTATACCATTTCCAGCCATGGAACAGAATCCTGATGGAGATCCAGCTTCGAGGACTCAGATTTTCCTCTGCTTTTTCCTGTCCCTTAAAGTCCACGTCTCTATTCTTGCTTCAACTAGCTCAGTTAATGACAACGTTACCTCTTTCTGAATTAACCATCAAGTTCTTTAAAGTAAAAATATTTTTACACAGTGAATTGATCTTTACTTATAAAGCATGGGGAAATAAAAGGAAGTAAGCTTACCCAAAGACCAACACAGTTAATATTTCAATGTATATTCTCTCTTTTTCCCTATGCATAAATGAGATAATAAAGTTTTCCCCTTTCAAAGCCCACTTTTTTCCAGCTAAATATATTGCAATTAAGTTTTCATAACATACCTATGTATCTAAAACATTGCTTCAAAGGACTGTATTGCAGAGTACCATATAGAGTCCCCATGATACATTTGGCCTTACCGCCTCTTCCAATTTGTTTTCTGAGCCTAATTCAGCATGAGGCAGTGGGTATCCTGGCTAAAGGCACATAATAGGGAGACAAGTGCCTCACCATGAATTCCACCTCTCCACTTATCAGGCGGTGACTTGGACAAGTTACTTCATCATTTTCACCTGTTTTCCTCATCAGTATAACGTGGGCAACAACAGTAGTACTAGAGCCAGAGCCTTGTCATTTGTGAGCACTAAGAAGTATCTGATTCCTCTTTCTACAAATCTTTAATGGCTTTTCATTTCTCATTAAAAAACAAAAACAAAAACAAAACACTTAGTCTGACATTCTAAGCCATTGAAGATCTCATTCTAACTTACATTTCTGGCCTTGGTTTTTATTGGGTTGTTGGAAAAGTTGTGATGTATTTTTCTATGCAAAAAATGTGTCATGACTTTCCTGACAACCCAATAGCTTTTCCTACATGGAAAGGAAATAAAGCTTAACTCTGAACTATTAGAGAAAAGGTTAGGTGCTTACATAGGTCAGCTAATCTAGTCTTCAGAAGGGCGTAGAGGAGGAAACAGTGAAGCAGCTGGATTCTTATCTCAGAAACCTGATTCCCAAGCCCATGTTCTTCCCCCCTTGTTTTGTCCTTCCTCTGTACCATGACTCTTTCATACTTTGTGTCCTTTACCCTGCTGGCTGTCTGTTGGGGAAGGAGGGGTCCCTCCCTGCTCATCTCAGAAATACCTCCTCCCCACAGCATTCCCAACACCATTTCCCAGAATGAACTCAGACTGCGCATTATTTCCGCTTTTCATATCCTCTTTAAACTGCTGACCTTGTATTATGGCTGCTTGACCATGAAACAATCTGATTGGACAGAAAATGTTTTAAGACAGGGGAAATGATCCACTCAGTTTCCAGTCCTCATTTCATTTCACCTATCACAGTGCCTTGGACATAACTGATACTTAATAACTATTTGTCAAAAGGTATCCTCAGAGTTTATTTATAGGGCTTTGCTGACTAAGTTCTGGCGTGCGAATCTCTGCTTATATTGAGCTCAAGACATCTTCAGTCAAATTTTGAGAAAAGGAGCCTAGGAGGAAGTACTCAAGCAAATACCAAGAAATGTGTTCTCCCAACTTGAAAATGAGGCCCAATAACTAAAGTGTCATCACCTTTATATATAAGCTGTGTGATCTCAGTGTAGGTGTATTCAGTTTTCCCTCTTCCCTGGGTTTGTCTCTTCCTTTAGAAAGATGGGCTGAAGCATTGAGATAGAACTGGTATTCCCTTCATTTATATGATGTCTTCGGCCCTGGACTTATGTTGAGATTAGAAAAAACGTAAAGACGTAGACTACTTCTGCTTGGTGTTGAGGTTCTCTGTGGTGGCTAAGTCTCCTTGGCTTTCCTGAAGAGCCTTCCACAGACCTCGTTACTCTGGCAAAGAGGATAAATGCATCAATCTATGTGCTTGTCCATCTACATTGGCTCGAAGTCCTCTATAAGCCATCAGTCTTCACTGGGACTGGATATGAGGACATAATGGAAAATCACCATGCTCTTGGGCCATTATTAATACACTGAGTCATCCAGGATTCCTAGCAGGCTTCATCTTGAAATGTTGTTATTATCTTTCTGGCTTCTATTCAGTGAGAATCCAAAATAACTCCTCTTTCTGTACACAAGCTTGTGGACTGATACATCAGCTGTTTATTACTTCCTTCATTAGCTGCTCTGGCACATCGTGACCTTCATACCACATTCCTTGTTGTGTCTTCTCAGGATTATCCAAGTGCCTGGAATGTCTCTTCTACCCTGGTACTTCTCTTATTAATATAATTTGCAATGTATTTTGACTGGACAAAGATGTTTTCTGTATTTTGTAACAATTCAAGAAGTGATTTTCTGGTTTATAAAATAGATCTAGATATTTGCAGATGATATATATCATATATGTAAAACCTATATTAGATAGCCACATTTGCTAGAAATATGTAATATTGTGGTCCAGTTCTATTAGGCCTTTTGGATAAACATATTTCAATAAAATGAAGGCATTATTTTATTCGGATAGAATACAAAAATACTTTAGCAAACTTATAAGTCAGCAATAATTGTTTTATTTCATTAATCTACTTGTAATATAGACAAGAATCTTAAGAGAATGGGTTACCAGAAGGTATAGCATGGATTCACTAATCATTACCCAAACTGTGTGACTTTTTCTCCTGAGTCCACCACTAACCAGCCTTTCCCCACCTCCTTTCCAGTATGCAGAGGCCCTACTATTTCCAGTGGAATGTGGGTTGAGTTTTGAGGTCATGTGTGCCACTTCCAGGCTCAGCCTACTACCCTCTCAGATGAAGAAAATTCCTACCTGCCAGCTACAGGGAGGAGATGCTGATGATACAGTGAAGGTTGGGGACATAAGGCAGGAGGAACTGAGGTCCCCAAGTGATCATTTGGAGAGCTGTCCAACTTATCCAAGATGCACTTTATGTGCTTCATTATGTTAAGCTTACTGACATTGTGGGGTTGTTATGACAGGTCATTGCTTCTTACTAATATTGTTGGAATGCTGCAGTTAAAGTGTTCTAGTCTGAGTCTTTATTGGGGTCCTTGTTGGTTGTCATAAAGGGGAATATTCTGGATAGTAAGAGCTAATTCAAAGGTACTGGCTTCCTACTGGGGAAAAATCTAGGAATGAAGAAATAATAGACAAGGGGCAAAAATGGGAGGGGGGGCACAGGTAGTGGCACAGGGGTAATGCAGCTGGACTCACACGCAAAAGTCCTGGGTTCACATTTAGGGATCTCCCTGAGCACAAGTGTCTGTGATCCAAGTTGACTGAAGTAGGGGGTGGATCATGGCATGGACACTTTGTTGGGGTACCTGTCTTTGTCTCTTTGATTTGCAATAAACAAATACTCTTTTAAAAAGGGGTGTAAGGCTCAAAGTTTGCCTCTTGTAGATTTTTACATAGCGCTACTTACTGATATGAATCTTATGCGACAATAAGGGCAACAATAAGTTAGGGAAGACCTAAAGGAAAAAACCCCTTTGACTGTAAACATTTGGAATCGTGGGTGGCTATGCCCAAGATCTCAGCCATGGACTGATACTGGAATAGGAGAAAAGAATAGAATTATCTGAGGTGTGCTTTTACTCTTATACGCCATTACTAGCCGAAAGGGACACATTGCTTTAAGCAAAAAGGGATTTGTGGGAGAGAATTCTTAGAGTTTTGTCAGTGATTCTCAAGTAGCCTCGGCACCACCGGTACTACATGCTTTCCAAGAAATGGCAATCTTTCGTAAGCTTTAATTCCAAAAAAGAAAGGACTATCTTACCCGTCTAATAATGTTGGGATCATTGCACTTTGCCAGTTTTCCAGCAAAAAGCTGAACTCCAAAGCTTGCAAAAACAAGCATTAACGTCAGCAAAAGAATAGAGACCTGAAAGAAATGGAGAAACTATGAAATCTCTCGGTAACACCCAAACATTAGGTTCGGTTTAAACAGTGATACAAACATGATTTTTAAAGATAACAAACTGTATAAAATTCATGGGTTTTTAATGATATCTTTTAACTCCTCTGCCACAGGCCATTCAATTAGCCTTATTGGAATGTCAAGAGGAGGAAATTAATAACAGACTTTGAATTTTGAAAATAAAAACATGCAGTTTTCATGTAAGAAAATGAGATAAGGTATTTTTGATGTGAAATTAACTTTTATGATTTGAAAATCAATACATTTCTCTATTTTATTTAGTGGAACAAAGGGGACAATGTGTAAATACTTCAGCACGTGTTTTCAAAGCGGGTTCCTATCTTTATTAGCAGAGTACAGACTGAGAGACAGTGGCTTTGTGTTCTTGTGAGCAGGAGGCTCTGCATTTGGCAAAAGTGCTGAGCACAGAGGACAGGAGATAATTCTTGAAGAGCACAGCCGTTCATTAACTCGTGCTCCCTCTGCTGGCTGGCTGCTCTGGTTTCAGCACAAAGTGGCAATGGATAAAATGTAGAACAAATTCTTGCACTGTGCTGGCTGGATAATCTAACGTTTATTGTAAGTATACTCCTATGACACAGAAACCTCCTCAGGAGAAAGGTACGAATAGATGATCTTCTCAAACCCATCAGTGGTCAAAAATTCATACACATTAGCTGTCTGCTGATAATGCTGTCCATCAATTCCAGCAGTGTGAAAACCACAGTTCCATGGCTGTGTATAAAGAAAACTTTGAAATACACCTTCAAAGAATGTACTAGCAACTGTATGCATCTTAGTAACATCACAACCTACCTCTAAAAAACTTTCATAGTCACTATTAGCTGCAGCTGTGTTCTTACCATAGGTATGTTTCCAGAAAGCAAGTTACTGAACAAGCTTATGTAAAATAGTTCATGTTTTTTATGCATAAGCAGACCTTGTCGATAATAAGAAGAATGCTTTGATTGCTTTTTTTGTAAGATAAAGATCCTTTGGTTACAGACTGTGAGCAGTGAGCCTCTTGTAGTTTTATCCCCAAGTCTGTTCTTAGAAGACCTAAATCACGGGCTGGCAGGTGGTGTGGTTGTTAAGGGAGCTGGATTCCCACATGGCAGACCGCGGTTTGAGTTCTGTACCTGAAGGTTAGCTTTCTCACTCTCTCTCTTGCTTGCTTTCACTTTGTCCCTCTCTGGTCAAATTAAAAATAAACAAATAAATAAGTAAATAAGTTAGAATAAAAATAAATTCTTTAAAAGAAAAAGAAGACCTAAATCAATGTTTGCCCAAATAAAAAGGATGTTTTCATCTTCAATCACATTTGTAAGTATTCATTACTGTATGATGAGGTTACTTAAACTATAATAATAAATATCTGTGTGACACTTTTTTAAAAAAATATTTTTGCCATAGGGCTTGTGCGCTCACTGGAGACAGAGAGACATAGAGGGAAAGTGAGAAATCACCCACCAGGGAGGATTGCCATGCCATAATTTCCTCTCCTTCATTCTCCACTTGGGACCTTGGGCACACATGCATGGCATGTTCTTTAAGCCACCCCATCTGGGACTTGAACCACAAGCATCCATGTGGAATCCAGTGCCTTAACACCATGCCATCTGCTGGCCCACTACAATACGTTTTAAATTATCTTATGTTAATATTCCAAAGATATTTAAGGGACACACAGAATGAGATTAGGAACGCAAAAGCACTAATTCCTAATTCCATTTTGAAATAGACGATCTTGAGTCTTCTTAGCCTTAATTTCTACGTAAGGATACTATAACTCAGAGTAGAAATTAGTGTCAAGAGTTGAGGCTGAAACAGTCAGCAGATATTACCTCTTCAGGTTCTCCATTCATTGTACTTTCTTTCTTTCCTTTTTTTTTTTTTTTCTAAGAGAGATTTTTGCTATAGGGTGTGCACACTTACCAGTGCACTCACCGGAGAGACAGAGAGATAGAAAGTGAGAAATCACTCCCTCCCAGTGGGGAGGCCACATCATAATCTATTCTCTTTTATTCTCCTCTCTAGATCTTGGACACACACACACACACACACACGTGCACGTGCACCCTACATGAGTTTTAAGCTGCTGGATCTGGGACTTGAACCACGATTGACTACGTGGGAGTCTAGCAATGTAACCATTATACCACCTGCTGGTCTCTCATTGTACTTTCTAAAGGAATTCTTTTATTTCACTAAAAGGGTTGATTGAACCCAATAAACTAATAAATCAGAAGTGTTCAGGGGTAAGGTTTTAGCATGTGCACTGTGTTTTCTAGTGCCTTTAACAAATAAAACTATTAACTTGACCTTGATAAGCAAGACTCACTTATCCACTCACTAGCCACATTAAAGAGTTGGAGTACTGTGAACTGGAAGCAAAGGTAACTCTGACATACCAGAAATATTTCCTTGAAGCCACTGAAAAGTTCTCGGACAACTTTCCTCATCTGAGGCACCAGTTTGAAGATCCGCAGAGGTCTGAGGCACCGCAGAACCATCAGGAGCTGAGCTCCTGATTCAGCTGGTACGTTTTGAGGCATCCAACAAAGAAATATCAAGCTCACCTAGAGAGAGGGAATAATCTTTGGCATTTATACAACTGATCCTCTTCTCTCTATATTCCTGAGCTCCACCTGGTCATGACTTCCCATTTGGCGTAGATTCCACGTGCTTTGGGGACAAGCACTTGTGTGGACAAGCAGTTGTGCCTGCAATCTGTTAACTTTAAACAATGGATATATCTTAGACTTCATAGCGACCTTAAAGGAACGTCATCACCTGCATGTTTGAATGAAACAGGCCCATAGTGTGTCTGAGTGCACGCCAGTACATTCTGCTCCCTCTTAACTTACTGCACTGGTGGTTCTGCGGATGCCTAAGTAATTGGAATTCCTTTTCTTTCTTTCTTTCTTTCTTTCTTTCTTTCTTTCTTTCTTTCTTTCTTTCTGTCTGTCTGTCTGTCTGTCTTTCTTTCTTTCTTTCTTTCTGTCTTTCTTTCTTTCATTTTTTAAAAATTTATTTTAGGGTGCATGTGCTCACAGTGACAGGGGCTTGGAGAAAGCGAGAAATTGTCCTTGCAGGGAGATGACCATGCTACAATCCCTTCTCCTCCATTCCTTCTAAGGATTTTTGGCATGCATGCCCCTGTTCTTGGTGTGTTTTTCAAGCTACTGGAACCAAGACTCGAACTGTGCAGTAGGCCATGTGAGATCCAGCTGTCTTAATTACCATGCCACCTGTTGGCATGGTAAATAAAAAAATTTTGAGTCTTTTCCTATGGTTGCCCAATTTAGTTTAATGAAACAGTTGAATGGGCACATGCTACAACCACAAAAGTGTGTTGGAATCAGGAGGTCCAACCACAATCATTTTAGTATGCTTTTAACAATAAGAGACTCATTAATCAATAACATGATTTATGCGATGAAAACTTTCTTTTTTAATACAGGAGTCATAGGAAGTGTGGGATGCAAACTAGACTTGCTAATTTAAATGTTATTAATGTGTGTCATTCATTTGAACAGAACTATCGATGATATTTATAATAAATAGCATTTAAACTTTACATGTATGTCTCATATCCACATGTAATGGATGACTCTATAGTTCATTGAATAGCCCAGTTAGGTCATCTAAACCTCTATGACTCACACAAATCACTCTTGTGCCAAGAAATGCAGGAGATTTTACAAAATTATTACAGTTTACATTTAGGAAATAACTATAGACTTACAAGATATATAAATATGTCCATTACCCCACCAAAGTCCCTGATGACAGCAGTTGGGGTGAAAAATAAGCCATCTGCCATAATCTTCAGATTAAGCTCAATGCTCATGAATATCACAAACACATACTCGGCAATCTGAAATGGGCAAAAGGCAATTTGAGCACAATGAATGGAAAAATTGCAGGTCAACGTTTTACTGCATCATTGTGAGCTGAGGGTCAGCAATAGTACCTGCAAAGTAGGTGCGTGCATGACTCTTCGAAAGGGGGATTCAAACATCATGGAAATGCAGGAGCAGATGGTTACGATGATCATGACCCAGTCTAGGTAAGTGACCAACCCCAGCAAATCACTGCAAAAATAAAAAATAAAAAATAAAAAACCAAAATTGAGAAACACAAATTCTCTAGGAAGAGCTGCTAAGAGACAGAGATGATGGCTTCTGTGATTATAGTAACATGACTGGCATTTTAAAAATAAATTCCCAATCATCTATTTCTTAGCACTGTACAGCAAGAAAATAGAAAAGAATTTTTATAATTTTATGTAGTATAAAATAGTACATGAAAACTTCAAGTATGCATAGAAAATGGGACTCATAATGCTTACTAAAGTTGATGGTACTTTGTATTTTTCACGGCTCCTGTGACAGGATCTGTTTTGGATCTGTAAGAGAGAATAAGCAGATGAAGTTCTGTAGCACAGCCAGTGTGTTATAACATGGCATCATAATGTGGCAGCGTAGCATTTACAAACATCTCATCTACCTAAAGTTTCTTTTATATCCTCCATAATATTTCCATTATAAAACATATTAACCATATTGACTTTGGAAGACAAGGAACATTAGAGGAGAAAAAAATAATTTGCTGTTGATGGTTATGAAACTAACATTTTATTTCTTGAAATACTTGATTTTAGAATTTGTGACTCCATTCAAAAGTGCCCAACATGGACATTACAAAATTACATTTTGACCCATTTAGAAACACTCATTTAAAATCTTTGTCTCAGTAGTTTGAAGATATTCTTCATAATTATTTAATTATATACTCCATACATTAAGTAGTTTCTTTGCTCTGCATTTAACTGTAATCTTACAGGATAATGTATTTAGAATTTCTTGGGAGGGAGATTTATAATTTCTATTTTCAGGAAATCTGTGAGCAATTGTCAGGGAGGCCTGTGATTTCCCAATCACAACCAAGTCCTCATCAGCTATAGTCAATGTGGCCTGCATTGTTAACAAAAGGAGAATCACACCATACTCAATGAAGTGGAGAATCAGCAATTAGATGTTAACATGTCGGTACCCAACAGGATCATTCAAAATGAAAAACCCACTTTGAGAACTGATCAAATCAACTTCTAAACTGTGGTCTTCTTTTACTGTGTGAAAACTCAGAAGTTTTTATTGACTATAACTCAGGTGCTTTAAGTTGTGAAGGTCTTTCCAGAATAGCAGAAAGAATAATGGAGTGGCAATCAGGAGAGAGCCATGTATTAGGGGTGTCCTAAAGCTGAACCCTCCACCTCCACAGACCCAAATGTCATCTTCTGTTGAAGGAGGGGGGCATGCAAAGATGACACTAAGTGGTCTCTGAGGTTTCCTCCATCCTGAAGTGTCATGACAGTGTATACTAGTATTCTAGAATTGTTGTAACAAAGCACCTGACAAGGGTGGATCAAGCAACAGAAATGCATTTTCTCCCAGTTCTGGAGGCAGAAAGTCCAAGATCAAGGTGCCAATAGATTCTCTTCTGAGAGCTACAAGGGAAGGATCTGTCCCAGGCCTCCCCCCTTGGCTCATAGATGTCTGTCTTCCCTTTACATGTCTTCATGGTCTCCCTCCATATGACTATATCCAAACCCCCTCCTCTTATAAGAAAAACGCTCACATGGATTAGGGCCTACCTATTAACCTTTTAAAAATGTAATTATTACCTTTTTAAATATTCTATTTCCAAATACAGCCTCATTCTGAGGCATATGGGTTGGGACTTCAATATATGGATTTTTTTTTTGAGAAAATTCAGTTCATAATAGTGATTAGGATAAGCTACTGATTATCAACAAGGGAGATTGATTGACTTCAATGATGGCATGGGGGAAGACCCAACTATGCAGAGGAAAGATGTCAAGTCATCATACTTCCTCCAGGACTCTTAATGTTTCCAGAATATTTACTCAGTTACACCTGGCAAAAATTCATTTTGCCCATTGGTTGCCTGTGAAACTTGGCTTTGGGTTCTCAAGTATAGTATCCTCAAAGATCACTTTACTGATAGCTCTTTTTTTTTTTTGAAGGTCTACACATTTATTAATAATTACTTCATAGACAAAAAGCACACTTTCACCATTAACAAGTGTTTTCAGAATGAGAAGACAATTCTGCTTACAAAGATGTGGCTTTCTCAAAGAACAAAGTCAAAAGTTTTACTATTTCTGGTTATGCTGCTATATGTGGACTTTCTTTGTGATTCCAGAGGGAATTTATCCAGTTTTGTAGCATTTCTTTACGTTGGGATGGTAGAGATAGTAGGGAGTGGGCTTTCTTCTCACAATAATAAAAGCACCGGCCAACTTTCTTTCTTCTTTATGTTATTATAGAATAAACCCATGGGGCTATTTCCACCACAATGAAACTAAGTATGATGGAAGAGATGGACAATGACTTTTATCATGTCATTTAATCTCCCTTGATTTCAAGGTTCCAAAAAGAAAATACGGAGTTAATAACACTAGTATAAATGTATTAGGCAACTGTTAAAATGCGCCAATGCAAGAGGCTAAGTGTTTTATGAACGTGAGTTTTCTACAAATGTTAACTACTTGCAACCTTTGTTTTCCACCTGGTCAGGCACTTAGCAAATAGGAGCAGCATGATTAATTAGCCCACAGTCTATTTTGTGACCCCATTAGGATTACACATCCCTTCTTCTTCGTATGACAACCCCCCCTGCTGTTTGCATGGCCCAGGCCAAACACCTGGCTGAAATGAATGTACTTACGCGTTGAAGCGTGCTCGGACCACCACCCGGCAAAAGTTTCGGAACCTGTGCTCCCGCCCAACGATGAACAGTGGCTTGTCGAAGTACGGGTGGTTTTCTCGCAGCTCCTCCTCTTGCACCTTCCTTGAAGGGGAAATTTATGGGGCTGTCAGGTTGAGGGTAAGTTCGCCATTTCACAGGGAGAGCCAGGAACACGGAAGCCCCCGTACCTTTTCATTTCCGCTTGCTCCTTTTTTTCCTGAATCATCTTAATTTCACTGTCTTCTCTTTGTGCATTTCTATATCTCACTGTATTGGAATGCTAGACATGAAATGAAAGGGTACATATTAAAATACGAGATTTTTCTTTTCTTTTTGCTAGATGGAGCATGCACTCACCTGAGAGAGATGGAGAGGCAGAGAGACAGGGAGAGGAGAAAGATCCTCTCCCACAGTGCTTGGTCACATCAAAATCCCTCCTCTCCCATTGTGCCCTCCTTTCTGGATTTTGAGTATGCACGCACACATGCCTGGCATGTTTCTCAAGCAACCAGGTCTGGGGCTTGAACTGCGTGATAGCATTGTGGAATCTGGCTGTGTCAACCACCAGGCCGCAGATATTTTTGAAGGTCAAATATATTATCACTATGAAAACAACTGAATCAATATATATATATATACACACACATAATGACTACAGTCATCTTAGTAAGGGTTTCATTTCCCATTAAAAAGTAATTCATTTAAAAAAGTAATTCATTCAGCACTTATTTACTGATATCCTATTTTGTGTCAGATGCTATTCTACTGTGGAGAATACAGCAAGAAAAAAATGACAAAGGTCCTATAGTCATAAGGTTGATATTCTAGTCAGAGAGAATCAGATAAAGTTTCAAGGTAAGTATGTTAGAGGATGCTTAATACTCTGATTTTTAAAAAAAGTGGATGAGAGGCATAGAGGTGCTAGAAAACTACGGTTTCACATATGCAGATTGGGAGGCCTCAATATGAAGGTGGTATTTGAGAAAATACTAGAAGGAGGACAGGGTGCAGGCTGGTGGAAAGCTTCCTCGGTTTCTACCGAGATGGGACTAGGAATGGCCAGGATGCCAGTGGGAGTGTAGACAAAAGTGCAAGGAACAGAGTAGAGAAGGATGAGATCTGAGAGGTGGGGTGGGCAGGCTGCATAGGGCCTCGATAGTCATTGCCTGGACACTGTGGGAGGTAGAGAGCCACTGTTAGTAACACTGGACAGCATTTCTTAGACGTAATGATCTGTATCTTCTATCAGAGGGAATAAGTCAAAAGCTGAAATGATCTCATTTGAATGTCTAGTTATAAGATGAATGACATCCCTAACAAAAACATGACGTTTTGTTAGGGAGAAGATGGGGGATAGATTTTTGTCATATGTCCATACAAAAAAAACAGTAAGTTTTTGCAGATGTTAGCCCCTGGAGTTGAGACTATTCAATAACTTTTGTTGTGTATACTTAAATGAATATTTTAAAAGCCATCTTCTGATCTGATTCTTATGTAGACTGTACTTTTCTATTGATCACATTGAAAGAACGGACTTTGAAGAAATGTTGCCTTTCTGAATTTTTACCTGGAAACTTTCTCCCTGCAATATGCCTGACTCTGGAATCACATGTGCATAGGCTGTGTGTTGGATCTGAGCCAAATTTCATGTCAGCCATACTGTAGCCAACTAGATAGAGCTCTGGATCCTAAACACCATGGCAGTAACAATGCTCGGTGCTGATTAGAGTGATGTCAATTGGGTAACGTGATATCGGGTGCTCTCACCATCAGCGTCTAGTTTTCAGTTTTGCCTGGAACACTTAATAAGGACAATCAGCTTATACTAAGATAGCAGTTTCTACAGATTGAAAGCAGATGTCATACACCAAACACTCCAAAAACGCTTAAGGAATTAGAGACTAAGTTGAGAAAAAGACAAAAGCAAAAACCAAAAAACCCTGTGACGTTTTTAACTTTGACTCACCATCCCTCCTTTCCCAAGTGTCATCCTTGGTTCTGAGCATGCAAGACTCCATTTTCTCAGCCAAGTCATCCAGGTCAGGCTGAGGCCTATACTTTAATCAGGGCTTCACTGATTGTGATGCTTAGTGTTTTGTGTCAGCTTGACTGGGCTAAGGAACACCCAACCTGATAAAGGATTACTTTGGGCGTGTCAGGCTGGTGGTTCTAGGGGAGATTACCTTGCCCATGATGTGGGCAGGCACCGTCCAATCAACAAGGGGCCTGGAGAAAACAAATACAGAAGACAAATGGGTTTCCTGAGAGACAGCAGGATCTATTTCTGCTGCCTCAGATGTCAGAACTCAAAGCTCGACTCCAGGATTTACCCCAGCTGCACCCAGATTCTCAGGCTTTCAGCCTTGGTCTGAGAAACACATCATGGGTTTCCTTACCTCTGAGGCCTTTGAACTTGGACTGAGTCATGCTACCAGAATCCAAGGCCCTCCAGCTTGTAGACAATCTGTTGTGGGACTTTCCAGTTACCGTAATCCATAGTCACATATCGAACCTCTCTCCCCCAATAAATCCTCTCTTTATATCTATCTATCTATCTATCATCTATCATCTATTTATGTATAGCCTATTGGTTTTGTCTCTAGGGAATCTTGACTAATGTAGTAGTGATAATTAAAGTAATATGTACTTTTCATCTCTTTCATTGTAACCTTAACTCCTGGTTTCTCCAACCCTTGGTTTCTTCAGATTTCCACGAGGCTCACCCCATTTTATTTAGGTCTCTAGGTTCATACAGAGAGGCCTACACTAATTATGGTATCTAAAATTCCCTAACTCCAAGTCTCTTCCTTTGATTTCTCTACACGGTTTTCTTCTATTTTACAGTACAAAGCAAACCTGGCACTGCACTGAAGAGATGGTGGAAAATGAAAACAGTCACAGGAAATCCATTATATGTCTGTCCCTTTACTAAAATATAAGCTCCAGGAAGGCAGCAGGTCTGCCTGGTCACCTCTACTTCTCATCACTAAGAGCAAGACCGACACATCATAAACACTCAATAAGTTGTTACTGAGTGAGGAAATAAGTATATGAATGTCCTATCATCTAAGATCAAAGAAATTTTTGGGAAATTTTATGTAGTCTTTCATAGAAAAATTCTTCTAAAAATAAAAGTTTATTTTCTAATATGTAAAGCCCTGAAATAATGGACACTGGATCTAGATTTTAGAATATATGAAACTTAGTAAATGCTCAAAATTAATGATCAGACTCATAAAATGCATTAAATATCTTTAATTTCAGTCAAATACAACCAATATGTCTCTTTTGTGCTGCGATTTTAACTAAAATATGTGATTTTTGTGGAATAGCTGAATTTTCCCAGTGTTATTGACCACTTTTTAGTATATGACTATAAAATTTGTTTTCTGAGTTTTCTGATTCTGTCTGGTATGTAGTCTTAAGGAGACATGGAATATGACAGAAATACCCAGGAATGGGAACTATCTAAGCAGTCATTTAAATACATTTTCATAATCACTTTCCAAAATACAAAGCATTGCTCAGAACTTACATCTTGGGTCAAAGTTTCAAGAGATTTCCCCCTGCTGATCCTCTGGCTGTTTGATCCATGTCTCAGTGACCTAGAACAACCACAACTGTGCAATGAATATCAAGATCAAATTTTGACTTTAAAGCAATGACCATGATAAAAAATATTTTTTCTGATCTGCTGCAACAACACAAATGCCTCTTACTTCTTTATACAGAAAAAATATAGTCTATCTATATGTCTTTGATCCCACCTAACAAAATTCAGCATTTTTTCTTCTTATCTTAAATGTAAAATTTGGCCATCACCAAGGAAAAGGTTCTTGAAGTAAAGAGATTTTGAATCTTTGAATCTGCTTGTGAGTTTCATTATTGCTACCACCGGCAGGTAAAACTGTCTCTCATCCATGCCTGTTTGCCACTCAGGGCTGACTGCTTTGTCCATGTCCTGTGAACACTTCCTGAACACTTCCTTCCTTAGCCTCTCTTCCCGGAGTGTTTACCTGCGCTCCTGGCGAATGTGATGCTGCACACTAAGGATTGACCTCTCCTTTGCGGGTTGCCCCTCGAATGATCCGCTCAGCATGCGCTGTCGCGTGCACGCTCTAGAAAAAGAAGGAGCCCTAGATAAATGCATGATTTGTACACTTGGGATGAATAATACATAGCTTCTCATTACTCTTATTAAAGGAACACCAGTGATAAGGCAAAATGCGTGTATAGCAAATGATACACAATCACAAGGGAAGATGGGCTGTAGGTTCTGGGTCAAGAAGACTTACAAAACAAAGTGTCCCAGCTATAAAGCGCTGTAAAAGAAAAAAATAAAAAAACTACTCTCCGGCCTCTCTCTCTCCTCACCAACCTCAATAGTGGAGCTTCTACAGGATCCTGTGAGCAGTAAGACCATCCTACCCACAGGCAAGCCTGTCTTTGGTTTAGAATTAAACAAGGAGGTTTCTAATAGAAGCCCTCAAGCAAGGATTTGTCTCCCCCACCGGCTACCCCAGACTCTTGGAATAATGAAATATATGTTCCAAGGAGATTTTCTGCAGAACGTTAGGAAAATAGAAAAAGCATAATGTTAGAAGCAAAATGAGTTGTAAAGCAAAATAACAAAAGCTGAAATTATGTATGACACTATGAACATGCTTAATTAACGCCGCTGAACTATACTTTTGGAAAAAGGCAGGAAGGTCAATTTTACATTAAAAGGTTGGTGTTGTTGTTGTTTTTCCTGCGATTAAGAAAAAAATGAAATTTACTAGTCAGACATACCTCAGTCTGGAGTCTGTGACTTACTGGTATAACTGGCTACTTTTTTTTTTTTTTAATTTGCTAGATGGAGGTGAAGGGAGTGAGATAGCATTCCCTACTGGGGATGTTCATGCTGCAATCTCTTCTCCTCTACTCTCCTTTTGGGACTTTGGGTACACACACACACACACACACACACACACACACACGCTCAGAGTTACTTTTCAAGTCACTGGATCTGGACTGTCAGTCATATAGGATCCAGCCACCTTAACCACCACATCACTGGTTGGCTCCATTTTCTTTTAGACAGAAAACCATGAACACTTAAAAAAATGTGTTCTCTTTAGAACCTCCTGGGTTTGTGTTAATTTCAGTCACTAATGAGCAAAGACAATTGGGTGATACAACACCTGTGGTGTGAATGATTTTGGTGAGAAAATAAAATTTCTTCTGCAGAAAGCTTTCTCCAATTGGGAATGACAGGAAATCTCTTGAGGGGATTAGTCAAGGGGGATAAAAAGCCTATGAGCCAGAAATGACACTGTCACCAACTAGACATATGAGTTTTGGGCTCAGATTCCTTATTGGTTATATGAGGAAGACTTGATTTAAAGATAACTCATAGACTTAGAATGTAATGGTTTTATGATATGCAAACCTTATGATGCTGTATTTAGTCAACACCCAAACACACACATTTCCGCCACTGCTTTACATAACATTTTCTTAAAATGTATTTCTATACCAACTCTCTTACATCTTTAATCAGACTCAGAGTTAAGATCTTAAAGAAAATAATCTGTACCTGTTTAACATACTGAAAACACTAGCTCTTATGATATACCATGTATATATCTAAGTCCTTAAAAATGCTTTTGATGTGGATAAAGATAATTATGGTACATATCCATAAGAAATTGTACAGATTCAATGAATATAAATACATTACTGGAAATCAAGCCAAACAATCATTATTCTTAGTTTAACAAGCAGCATGGACTTTGACTTAATCATTTTTATTTATTTATGTTTATCACATGACTCTAATGCAGTTGAGGTCTAGAGGACTTAAAAACCCCAGTCAAAATGTTACAGTACAGTGAAGATTTATGACAGTGATAGGGAGAGAGTGCTTATTTTCAGGAACAGAATGCTGCTGTACAGAAAGAAGCATTTGTAAGTTGACAAGGGTAAAGCTTGATCTCATATTATGTACATTCAATGTTGTCTTTTGAACAAAGGTCTGAAAATTATTAATTTATCCTGAGTTTCTATTAGGAGCAACTGTGTTATCCTGGCATAGACATGAATGGGACTTCAGAAAGTTTATGGAAAACTAGAATTAAAGTATAAGTTTATTTTGGTGCAGAAAGTGAACATATTTCCACAGTTTTGTATAATATATATTTTCCATGAAGATCTTGACACTCTCATAAAGATCTCTGCCATTTGTATAAACTTTCAAGATCTAACCTTTGGGCCATCCAGTGGCAGGGTGGTTAAAGTGGCTAAACCTCACATGGTTGACTATGCAGTTCGAGTCTTGAACCCAGTGCCTTGAAAATCATGTCAGTGGCATATTCATGTGTGCCCATATTGTAAGAGGTAGGACTGTGGCATGACCATCGTCTCTGGGGTTGGGGGTGATTTTGCACTTTCTGTCTCCATCTCTCTCCTGTGAGTGAATATACCTTGTAGAAAATAAATAAATAAATATGTAAAATTTAAAAATTCACAAACACCCTAACCTTCAGCTATCGTCTTAGTCATTTTTATATATTTATTTTTATCACATGACTCTACTCTAATGCAGTTGAGTCTAGAGGACTTAAAAACCAAACATGTAACCTGCTGCACATCTGAGTGTGGATGTTAGGTTTGAGACGGAAGCATAACTGGCTTTGAGCTGCATGTCGAGAAGGACTGCTATTTGTCCCAACAGCCTGGTCTTGCTGGACATTCTTACTGGAGAAGTTACCACTACACCTATTGACTCCAGGCCCTACGAGGTCCCCCAGTACTGCCCAGCTGAACAAGAGGGGCAGGTTTCCATGAAGGCCCACAGCTGGTGGAAAGACCCCTTCCCATGATTCTCTTGTCCATCTCTCCACCAAAAGCATGGTGTAAATGGGCAAGAGACGGTCCCTCCTTCCTCTTTGGCTAGGAACACTCACTTCTTTCCTAGTGGGTCTAGATAACTCTGGAAGTAATACTAAAATGAACTGGGTTTTCATTCATCTGTGTGATTAACATGTGTGTCTCTGGTCTCTGCATGATTTGTTCATAGGGGTGAGGCCACTGGTTTTAGCTCTCCCTGTCATCAGAAAAGCTGTGTTGAAACAGACTAAGGCAGCCACTTTACGCGTGTTATAATGGATGAATGCATCTGCTTTCATTTCCTTTTCCTACCACTTTCTTGAATGTTTAGGCTACCTCTAGCTAGAAGACCTCAGCCTGAATAATGATGGAAACAAGAATAAAGTGCTCAGTACCTCTGGCCCTTCTCATTCACAGTCAGTTAAAACTCATACTAAGTGATTTCAGAGTTCTCTACCAGCCAAGTATAAACCTGGGTGGATTTCTCGTGCAGAGGACCCTGAGTGTTTTCCTGCCTGTGCTTGCCCACCTGCACATTACCTGAAGTTCCAATGCACCCATGTAAGCTGAACACAGTGAATCAGGCAGAGTCTATCCTTGGGGCTAGAAGGTCACATGGTGATGCAAGCTCAATGCACACCTGCTCTTGTTTTTTATTAAAAAAATTATTCTTTAATGGAAATGAGAGATGGAGAGAGTAATACAGGCATCTTCAATAAGGTCTCAGGCCATGATCTCCCTCTCTCTCCAGCCAACATCATAGGTGCAAGCTTGGCATGCATAGGTCAGCCAAGGAACTGAACCCACCGTCTTCCATGTGGATCGGTTTCACTTGAGCAGCACATTACTACTGGGACATCAAGCCAGGCTCACGGTCTGATTCCCAGTCCCTTGTGACTGATTCCCCACTCGGCTCTGTATCACCACACCTCATGTCAGAATGAAGGTCAACAGTCTGCGTCTTCATTTCTCAGTCTCTTTGTGAGTCTGTCCTTGAACTAAAAGCTCTGATCTCTCATTCTTTCCTTTGAGTATGCCTGAGGCTTCTGAACTTAGAGGTGCCACAGATCAATGCTTAGCTGAAAACTGAAAGCATAGTCATTTAGCATATTGCTAAATAAACATTTGAGTGAAGGCAGTGGGGGAGGGGTGCATGTGAAAGAATATCATTTGAAGGCTTCTAAAAGCTTTTCCTCCTTTAAGTGGAGAGATAGTCAAACTACAAAGTAAATTTTTTTGTGGACACCGTACCTATTGTAGTTAACACCAGCCTATTTGCCTAAGTAATTTTCCTATAGAAAACAGGCAACGCTACAGATGAACAGCTTTTTTACAGATACTTAAATTCATCTCAAGAAACATGTAGAAAAAACCTAATTACATTATACAAGGAGACTAGTCATCAAACACAGGCTCCCAGTGACAACAGAAGGAACTCAGATGGAGGATAAACCCTGGGATAGGAACAGGGGGATGGGAAGGAAGTTTAGTAATACTTGGGTCCTCAGGACACATAGACATCAAAACAGGTATAGAAAGACTGTCAAGTTAGGATGCTTCTGGATATATAAAACAGCCTGATACTAAGCCATTGTCATATTCTTTGCCTATATAAAATATATTGCTATAATGGAAAATAAGAGTGTTGATGAGAAGTTCACTTCAATCAAGCACAACCAGATTTATGAAGATGTTATGTATACTCTAGTGTAATTCGCCAAAGTTCATACAAAAGTATGATAAACGTTTGGATTCTTATTTTGAAAGGAAATAAAATTTTATTATAAAGTAGTTACATAGTAACCTAAAGGCGGAACTACCAAATAGTGTTTGCGTATGCACAGTATAATTACACATTTGATATAAATGGATTCTCATTAGTCGTATAAAGCTGGAAATGAAGATTCCCCCTATGTTCCTGTAGCAGGTTATTAGCCAAGCTTGTTTAATGCTCATGGCATGTTGTCAGCATTAGTTAGCTCTCTTACTAAAGCACATAATTATTTTTTTGGAGAGGTTTTCGCTATAGGGCGCGTGCGCTTGCCAGACAGACAGAGAGACATAGAGACAGAAAGCGAGAAATCACCCCCCCCAGGGGGGATGGCCACGCTGCAATCCCTTCTCCTCCATTCTCCTCTCAGGATCTTGGGCACACATGCACACGCACCTGGCGTGAGTTTTAAGCCACCAGGTCTGGGATGCGAACCGCGGTCGACTACGTGGGAGTCCAGCGACGTAGCCATTACGC